GAACCTAAAGTCGAGGAGCTTGCTGGGCGAATGGTGAGGGATCAAGCTGCGTCTCCCAGTCTACATCTGTTTCCACCAAACCATGTCCTCCCCAAAGAGACAAACAGATAGAGCAGTTCTAGCAATTAAAAAAAAAAAATGCCTATTTCCCATTTACTGCTCTTCTAGTCATGCGACCACGTAGCCTAAAATGCAATGAAACTGATTTTTAAATATTAACTTTGACCAAATTGAAAAAAAAAATTTTGATAAAATATAAGGATACACCAGAGCTTTGAGGAAGAGCTCCGAAGGGGAAAACTCACCGTATCCATTTAGCAGACTGTAAAATTCATTATGTAGCTGTGAAAAGAAGGATGCTTGACCACTTTTGCATGTTTTTTGGGGGGCCACCTTCTTGGAAATAGATATTAGGTTAAATTTGTGACTTGTCGCTTTAAGGAGGATGTTGACCAGCTGTAGGTGATTCAGATGAAAGTGACCAAATTGATGAAGGGTTTGGAAAATGCAGCAAGTGGCAAGTGAGGAATGTTTGATAGGCCCTCAGGTTCTATAGCGTGGAAAAGAGAGAAAGTGGACGTGGAAAGATCGACCTGTATGGCTCCTGAAGAAAGACCTAGAATCAAGAAAGGCAAGTATAGGGAGATAGATTTAGGTTGACATTTAGGAGGTCACGCTAGCAATTAGAATTGATTGGCTGAGTCGCTTCGTGAGTCTTCTAAAGGGCTGTGAAAATGCTTAACCTAGAAGGTACTCAAATGGGTGCCATGGAGTCTTGTATATTGGCTAGTACATAGTATGGAAGATGCTCAATATTTGTTATATGTATGAATTGATGCAGATATTGTAGAGGAGAGATGTGGTCTGGATAATTTCTAAGTTCCTTTTTGGTTCCAAGATTCTTTGACATCATTTACAAGAAAAAAAAAATGGTATGCCTCAAAAAAATATATGAAAAAAGAAAGACGCTAGAACCATGTATGGCGCTCTCCCAATCGTTTATTTTACTCCGTCAATGCTGCTATGTGCTCTCCTGGAACACAATGTATAATCAATCAACCAAGCTTTCACTGAGAACCATCAGCAAGTTCAGCAACTTGCCAAGACACTGAAAGAAGAGGGTCAAACCGTAGCATACAAGAAATAAAAATTAAGAATATAATATTCACATTTCTCTAACTAGCCTGCCCCATTTTAGGCTTAGCTACCCAGCGGCGAAACACAATAATTGAGTTCCTCTCTTAACCACAAAGTGCTGATTCCTGGCATAACACAATTAGAACCTGGGTAATAGAGACGTGCAGAAGGAAACAATTTCACATAGAATAACATTATTCCTGGCAAAATAGGCACACGTTGTTGAATTCTTATTGTGGTTGTTGGCAGAAATAAAAGTCAGTGCTGAAATATTGGCAGGTAGAGCCTTTCCACATTTAATTTCGAGTTGGGGATAGGGTAGAAGTTATGATCGTCTTTAGGAAATAAAATAAGACCAAAATAAGTATCTGCCCATGTTCTTCTCACTCTCTGAAAAATTTTAGACTTTTTTTTTTTTTTTTTTTTTACTTTTAGTTAATTGAGAAATAAGTAAATCTCTGTGACATCTGCTACTCTGCAAAAGAGTAAGCACAGGGCTGTGGCCCTTCCATGAAATTGTTTGCTCAGGAATAAACAGATAACTGTGATCATGATCATTTGACAGCCTAATGCTTCTTGTTTTGACAAGTAGTATTCATCTTCAGAACTTTTCTAGATGAAGAGCCGTATCTGCCCCGCTAGTTGTTCTAATCAGATTATCCTACCTATAACATCAGAACCCCTGCTAACTCATAGGATGACTGTGTGTGAATTAGAACAATGTGCCTCTCACTGCAGGATGGTTGGCAGCCCTGACCCAGACTGGGGTGTATGACATGGAGAGTGGGGGGCACAGATGGGCTTCAGCCTTACTTGTCCCAGTGCCCTAGTGTCCTTGGGCAGGGCACAACCTGTACAACTTTCTGCAGCTGCCCAGACAAAACCTAGATTTTTACTGTGTGAAACTTTACAAAGTCTAAAGCTGAAGCAGTGATTCAATGCTAAGGTTAGCATGTGCCTGTTTTCCTGGTAAGTAAGTGCTTTTAAATAATAATAAAGACATTAATCACATGCTTGGTGTTTTGAAATGAACATATTTTGAATATTTTTTTTTGGTATTTTCAGTATTACCCCCCCCAAATTTAAAAATTACCTTGTGACACTTTCTTTCAGCATTTCTTACCTACCATATGAAGGACTCCACTTTTAATGCCTGGATTGGGCTGAACGATGTCAACTCAGAGCACACGTTCCTTTGGACGGATGGGCGAGGAGTTCATTTTACCAACTGGGGGAAAGGGTACCCTGGTGGGAGAAGGAGCAGCCTTTCCTACGAAGATGTAAGGGTCACCTCCAGGTCACCGCTCTAGACACTATCAGTTTGCTTCAAGTCATCATGTTAGCGATTAGTCTTCTGTGAAAAATCCACCAGGGGACTCCTCGATCTGATTCATTCTCGCAGATTTCAGCTGTTTCAGACTGAGCCAGCCTTGAAGGAAGGGGTACAAATTCAGCTAAGAGTTCTTCAGCTTGCGGGCAGGCGGTGGTGGCAGTGAGGGACAGGGAAAGCCAGCCCCGATGTGCACCTGCGTGGTAGTCAAGAGGTACACTGCCACCCAGAGTCATCAACTTTCTCTGCATCGGCACCCCCCCCTCAACTTTTGAAGCTGTGTAGTTTGGGGGGTATAGGTCTACTACTACTTCTAAATATATCATCATCCTCCTCATCATTATTATTACTGAGCTAACATTTGTGGAATGCTTACTATGTGCCAAGCACTGTGTTCAATGCTTTAGTACATTGACCTAAGAGACAAATGATTGCTTTATTATTTTCATTATTTCATTACTTTTAATCTTCTATCATTAAATAGTCAACTAATCAAGGTTAAGCACAATACTAATCCTTATGAAAAACATGAAGAAACGTAAGATTTTGTTCTTAAAGAAGCTCACACTTAAGCTAGACCACAAGTCTTACATAAAAAAGAAGACAGTAAAGAAATGAAAGTACATAATTTGCATCAGCTATAAAGCATTATAGTAGTTAAGAGGAAAGATACTTATTATGGAATGGAGCGATCTAATCAGTCCCCACATATCTGTGAAGCCCTTCACCGGGTGGAGGGAAGGAATATGGAAAAGAATCAGTTAAGAGTCTTTTTTCTCAAGAAGTTCAAAGCATAATGATCAGGGAAACTTGGCAAGAGGATGGGGAAGGACCTGTTGGGTGAAGTGAATAAAATCTTCAAGAAAAAGGCACATGGTAGGTTTGGGCAGGAATAAAAAGCTTTGGATGTAGAAGGGGTTTTATGCAGAAAAGAGGTAGGAGGAAGCTTTGAAAGGTGGAAAACAGAATGTAGAGAAATTTAGATGTCCTTTGAAAAGAATTTGGACTTTGTTGGAGATGTAATGAAAAAAGGTTTGAGCAGGAAAATGATCTGATTAAAATGAATCTTTCTGAGAATTAATTTGGTAGATGTGTGTAGAGTGGACATTTTGGTGATGGGTAAGTGATTTTGTGAAGAAATTATTTAAATCCTCACTACATCAATAAGGGCTGAAAACTTACAGAAGAAGTTAAAGTAGAATGGAGTGAGAGTTTGCTTAAAAAGATTTCAGGGACGAGAGGTGAATTTTATGTAAAGCAAAAAAAAAAATTATTATTGCACAAGTGTTTTTTTAGAACATAAAGAAAAGCAGAAACAACGGAAACAAAAATCTGTAATCTCAGCTTTCAAGAAAAAAACACATTTTTTTTTTTTGGTTGATGTTAGTCCTAGACTCCTTTTTAGTGCATGTCAAAATATAAAGTTTATATTTCACAAAAATGAAATCTAAACACATATACTGTGTTGTTACAATTTCGGGACTTGAAAAATGGAAAGACTAAATGCAGTTTGATAAAGAGAGTGGGAGAGACCTTCTCATATGCTTTTTGTGGTAAAAACATGCTTGTTGCGTACAGGTCTTTGGAACTAGAGCAGAGACTCTGAGCCAGGACAGTGGAAGATGAAAGTAGGGAGGAAGGGAGATGGGGATGAGTAGAGAGTCTTTGAAATGTAGGGCTAGGGGTTCCTATTGGCTGAGGCTCATGGGATAATGTGGCTGGAGGCAGGGGGTATTGAGAAGACAACTGTAGCTTAGTGCAAACTGTATTAGCTGTGGGTCAAGGAATTCATGAAATTTCTGATAGCAAAGTTTCTCTGACCTGTCTTCAAAATTTATCCAACTCTATTTGGTTTTCTATTAAATAGCAGGAGTTCAATGTGAGGGGCCCACCTGGGAAGTCAGTGCAGTACTTGGAAAGTAGGGATGAATTGGACATAATGTAAATGAAAACAATCTTAAAAGATGAAGGTTAGGGATGAGGAATGCTCTTGGCTTATTAACGAATTGATTTGATTAATTGTTGACCCACACTTTCCCCCCCTCTCCCTCAATACACAGGCTGACTGTGTTGTTATTATTGGAGGGACATCAAAAGAGGCAGGAAAATGGATGGATGACACCTGTAACAGTAAGCGGGGCTATGTATGCCAGACACGTCCTGGTAAGTCCTACCTCACCCACCTGTGAGGGCTGGAGTTTTACATTTTTTTTAACGCCCTCCTCAATTTTGCTGTGAACTTTAAACTGCTCTAAAAAAAAATAAAGCCTTATTTAAAAAATGACCATTCCCTTGCACGTCAGCAGGTTTGAATCTCACTTTAATCCGTGTATGCCTGTGACAAACAAAACAAGTGATATTTTCTCTAATTTATTCATGAATGTGCCCTTTCATCCATTACTGGAAAGAGTTGTGCAGATTAAACTTGAAGTTGAAACTTTCTAATTTTGTTAGAAGTTTGGGACGTTTGCCTACCTGTTCCTTTTTTAAAAAGTGTCAGAGCAGAATGCCTCAGTTCATCTTGGCACAGAACATCATGTATGCCTCATTAGTTGTTCTGTATTCTACGTCTTAAAAAATGTAGATATCTTATTTGAGTTCCTTGTTTCGTCTTAGGAAGCCTGACTATAGTTAAATAAAAATAATACAGAGTGTGTGAATATTTACTGAGAGCCAAGATTATGGTTTCTAGTGAAACTGGAATAAAAATGTCCAGCTACACAAGAAGGTCAGAAATTAAGGAAACAGATTAGAAATGAGGGTTGAGGGAGAAAGGTGGCTGTCATCCTGACTACAGCTCTTCGAGGATGAGTTTGAGTTAGAAAGTACTTGTTCTCCCAGATCTAACAAATTTTTCTGTACTTTCTGGGACATCAGGGAACTAATACCAACGATGATTGAAAAATCACTTAAGATATTTGCAGATGACTCAAAACGACTGCAGGCATTCTAATCGTTTATTAATCCGAGAGCCAGTGCAGACCACGCCACTTTGCTCTCTATACAATGCCCACAGCACCAGAATCTTAGGCCCAGTAATGCCGTCTGCACCTCTGTTTTCTGGAAGAAATGGGGAGGCTCCTTCTGGGAGTGAATGATGATGGACAAGCTTACTTAAAATCGTTTTCTTTTAATTATAAATATAAGTGATAGTATATTTGCCACCAATAAAAATATTGAAAATTTTAACGACTTTAGGCTCAATGGAAAGGCATCAAAATAGGAATAGGGGATATATTTGGATAGTGGGATTAAAGGTGATTTTTAGTTCATTTATTGTTTTTTCCTGCATTTTAAAAAATTTCTCCTTCTCTCTCTCTCTATCTATATATGTATAATATTAGTACAAATATATATGGATAAAAATACATATGAATAATGTGAATAAAAAGACTTTAAAAATATACATGTTCTTTGTTGAAATTTTAGATAATACAGAAAAACATAAAAAAAAATATTCCACATAATCTCACCACTTGAAAATAACCTCTCAATAGTTTTTCCTTATAATTTTTTCTATGAATGTTTTAATAAACAAGCAAATTGGACAGATGAGCTAAGATGCCTAGTTGTATATAATCTCACATGAAACCTTTTTTTTTAAGCTTTACCTCACTTGCCACTTTTGGTGGCCCCTAGATTTCCCAGTGATATTTGTTAAGACAAACCCAGATTTCCCCATGCTGGGAAATGATAAGACAGTTCATTTTCTAACGGGCTGTAACATTTCGAGGCTCCTGGCCTAGGGCTCTTGGTTCAAGGATATTCTACCAACACAAGGTGGCAGCAACAGGAGAAGAAAGGGAGGCCACCCTCGCTGAACTTGAGTTGTTGCCTTAGCAGCATAATCAAAAGAAAGTTTGGCATTTGCGGAGTCACAGAACAAGGCGGATGGTGGATTGGGTTTGTATATAGTGGGATAGGACGAAAAGTGACCAAGACAAAAAATTGGTAGGCATTTAACCTTAGACCCAGGATTGGTAAGGTTTTTCTGTAAAGACACAGATTATAAATGTTTTAGGCTTTTCTGGACATATGATCTTCGCTTTGCTGTCAGATTACTTTACTTTGCTGTAATCATAGACAGTCATATAGTACATAAAAAAATGTGTGGCTGTGTTCCAATAAAACTTTATTTAGGAACACAAATTTGAATTTTATATGTTACATGTCATGAAATGTTATTCTTCTTTGATTTATTTTCTTCTGCTGTTTAAAAGGCAGTTTTTAGTTCATAGGCTGTGGTAACAGACCCCAGATTTCACCCTCTGGCTGGACTTTGCTGACCTCTGCCCTAGGTCATCAGCTAAGGCATGCTAAGCTCTGTTTTGGGGTCTTGACAGTAAGTGGCTCTGAGCATGGGTACACCTAAATCAGCGATTAGAAATCCATGCTAGGAAATTGAAGAGAGAAGATCAGAAAGCCAATATGACTGGCTTACAAGGGCTGAGTCATTTTTGATAAGATGTGGGTGGCCTGAATGAAGAGCATAGGAAACGGTGAATAAAAGTACAGCTAGATCTTGAGATCAAGGTTAAATGAACCAGGGACTAATGTATGGCTTCATTCCAGAACTTAAACCCACCTCTTGAAGGTGTGTTATGCACAAATAGAGTCAAATAGATACAAATAAGATGTAAATTAATGGACAGAGTGGAACGGATGGGGGGAGGGAGAGGAAAACTACTCTTGATCTTGAAGTTTGACCAAGAGGGAAAAATAAAGATTAGTAACGACAGGATGACAGATGTTCTTTAATTTATGAGATTAAACTTCTGTCATTTCTTTATCCAGATACTAGATCTCATTGAATTTGCAAGCATTTTTGTTTCTCTAGAAACTTGATCATATAATTACCTTAATATTCTAAATACAGTTTGGAAATTATATAATTCAATCAAGCATCCTGATTAAAAAATAAAGCTTTGTTTTCAGGCATGAAATGGCTCATGGACATATTTTTAACACCTGATGGTTTGGCTTCTTATTATTTTTATGATGTATAAAATAAAGTAATCATGTAATTATGGCACTCAAGTAATGTTTATGAATAATACTAATGAAAATAATCTTTTTATCCCAGACTCTTCCTTGCCTAATTCCCCAGCAACAATTCCAACAGATGGTTTTGTTCAATATGGTAAAAGTAGCTATTCGCTCATGAAACTGAAGTTACAATGGCCTGAAGCAGAGAATTATTGCAAGCTTCACTCGTCCCTCATTGCCAGCATTCTAGACCCCTATAGTAATGCATTTGCGTGGATGCAAATGCAAACATTTAATGAACCTGTGTGGATTGGCCTGAACAGTAATGCGGTAAGATGTAGAAATGTGCAACTTGACATGACTGATGCATTATGACTGAATATGAGTCTCTTTCTCTTTAATCTGTTGAACATTTGTTGTGTGTAAGAAACCATGCCAGGGTGTATGAACGATACTAACATAAACAAGACCCAATCTTTCAAGGATCCAGTGTCTACAAGGGTCTGCTAAGCTGGGGATACATATCAGAGATCAAACAAATATTTATCTAACTTATGTTAACTCTCAGATTGCTTTCTTCAAAATTTATTTTTACTTAGAATTGACACACAATATTATGTTAGTTTGAGGTGTGCAACATAGTGATTCAACATTTATACATACCTTGCAGAACTATCACCACCGTAAGCGTAGTAACCGTCTGTCACCGTACAAAAATATTATGGTATTGTGGACTTTATTCCCTGTCCTTACCTTACATCCCTGTGACTTATTTTATAACTGTAAGTTTATACTTCTTAACCCCCTTCACCTTTTCTACCCATCCCCCTACCCTCTCCCCTCTGGTAGCCATCAGTTTGTTCTCTGTATCTATAAGTTTGTTTCTGTTTTGTCTTGTTTATTTGTTTTGTTTGTTAGATTCCACATATAAATGAAATCATATGGTGTTTGTCTTTCTCTGTCTGACTTATTTTACTTAGTGTAATACTTTTTAAGTCCATCTATGTTGTTGTAAATGACAAGATTTCATTCTTTTTTTTATGGCTGAGTAATATTCTATTATATATATCTATATATCTATATATCTCTCTCTATATATATCTCACATCTTTTTTATCCATTCTTCTATTGATGGACAACTCTCATATTGCTTTTTAATTTTAAAATTAACTGCATCTAAACAGTTTTATTTATTAACTTTTTCTTTCTAGTGTCATGATTACAACTGAGCCATGGGAATTAAGAAAGCAGGTCAGGGATGTAATTCCTGGGTTATGAGGTTCTTTTTTCATTTTTTGTGGCAAGCCATTCTAGAGTCGTTTTCAGTCCTAAAGCTGTGGAGCTTCTATCTCCGTGGAAGAAGTGTCATCGCAGTTAATTCCCTGTATCCCATCACAGAGAAAGGAAGGCTGGCAGAAAACGAGGTGGGGTGAGAGATGAGTCACAGAACTAGGAGTGGTTCTAGAGCTGCCACACTGTTCCTAAAACGAGTCTCCTCTGATGCTCTGCGATCCATCTGTCTTCCACTCGTACACACGTCCATCTAGCTAGTCAACCAGGAAAACTTTGTAGTAGAAGAAACTGAGGTGTCAACACGTAATTAAGAGACGATACAAGAAGTGTCAAAGAGAATACGTACAAAGTGCTACGAGATGAGAGAAAAGGGATCAGCTGTAGAAAGGGAGGGGACCAAGGGGGTTCCTCAGAGAAAGTCAGATTTTACTGATGTTAGTTAGGGAGTGCAAAGCAGAGAAAAGGATAGAGGGGGATACAACTGGATAGTAGGTTAGCGTCAGATTTTATAGAGCTTCTAATGTCATGAGCCAGAGATCGAAATTGACGCCTCAAGCAATGAGCACTTCCTACGTGAGGAACTGAACATCTGAAAATAAGTAGTTCCACAATGATTTCTGTGACTAAACTTGGACAAGACATTTTTATGTCTGTGTTGACTCTATTTTCAGTAATTAATTCTCTTGATAATTCACTCATTTCCTTCTCAGAGACATGGTTACAATTCTCTTGTGAGTTGAAAATAGGCTTTTCTTTATTTTTAGAAAGATTAAATGGCTTTCCACAATACCGACACTTATAACTGAAACAGTACTATTATCTTCCTTATGTCCATAGAGTTAATGATTATGTAAGCATTGTTTGATTAACCATGGTAGAATACTACAAAATTCTAACTTGAGATAGCACATGCTTTTGATTTTGTCATTAAAACTATGGTAATTGGCTTGGTAAATTAAATAATGCAGTTATTTAATTTACTTCTTTGAATTGTTTAAAAATTCAGTTTTCTCTGATTAATGTTATATAACATGTTCTTGGGCATTATTAATAAAATTTCTTTTAGACTGTTAAAAGGGTATTATTGATAAATAATGTTTTTGATGTTAACAAGTTAATGTGTATATGACCATACATTTGTTTGACTAAATTTAATAAGAAACTACATGTGCAAATTGAATAAAACAATCAGCTTTAAAAAAAATGCCATCATGATTAGTTATAGTTGAAAGAACCACCTAAGGCAAGAGACCTATGCTTCTCTATTTTTTACCCATGAGACCTTACCTAAGTCATTTGTTACTGGCCCGTTTCAACAGCTGAACAATAAGATTAGCTGAGATGTGTTTCTCTCTAGGGTCCAGAAAATTAATGAAAATTACTTAATTTTTATTATTTCAATGGTGATATAATAAATATTTTATTTGTTTAGAAGATAAAATTTCCATTTTGCACTGAAAGCTTATAAATGGGAGTTTCACAGAATATGACATAGGTTTTTAAGTCAGTTTTTCAGATTATCTTCCAAGAATGTATTTACAGAGATATCCAAAAAGTATTTATTTGTTTGTTTTTTCTTGTTTTTAAGGAAAATCTGCATTTACTGAATTTGAGTTGGTAGAAATGATTTATGATGTTTTTTTTAAAATGCTTTATTGTTGTAGATTCTTTGTCAAATCATGGTCTTAAATATATTTTCAACTCCTCATTTAATTCTTCTGGTATTTTCTAAATGAAGCAAGGCTCCATGTTAATGGTTATTTTTGTTCTTGCAGACCAATAGTGATTATGTTTGGACTGATAAATGGAGGGTGAGATACACTAATTGGGCTGCAAATGAGCCCAAACTGAAATCGGCATGTGTTTATCTGGATATTGATGGCTACTGGAAGACAGCATATTGTAATGATAGTTTTCACGTTCTCTGCAAAAGATCAGATGGTAATGGAATATACAAAGATAATCGAAGGATTTGAAATTTTTTCAATAAGCGAATACATACCACTGTTGATATTATTAAACAGTAACATGTCCTGGGGAGCTCAAGAATAAAATAAAATGTATTCTTTTACCTAATAAAAGGCTGACTTGGTAATAAACAGATATACATAGATCAAAATAATGGATATAAGAGATTTTCTTCATTGCTGGAGTTTATTGGCTCTTTATAATTTCTGAATTTTTAGTATTGAGATTATCCTTTGAATCTATGTCAGATTTTTCTGGGAAATTATGATTAGTTTTGATATCGACAGCACAGCTATATCGAAATGATTTTATTGCAATGCATGTACATTCATCAGAGTCAATGATATTATAGGGATTTGGTTCTAGAAAGCAGTCCTAGAATTGGCAGCGGTAAAGTCCTACCATTCTAACCGTAGCAGTTAGTTTCATCCCAGATGTCAGTCATAGCTAAGGAGGCTTTGTAGAGATTAGGATCCCCAAAAAGAAAAAGAGCATCTTGATGGGGGACTCTTGGCAAATTATTTTTAGGTGACTTTTTTTTTTTAAACTTAACATCTTTGTAGGTATCTATAGGTCTACATTCTTAACTATGAGTGTGATTGAGTGCCACTATACTATAGTACATTATATTGAAATATATTTTAAATGAAAAATGATAAAACCCAATAATAAAAATGGCCGATCCAGGTGATTACCATTAGAACTTTTAAAAAATAATGATAGGTGATGAAATTTTCCATAGCTGCTAATACCTTATTCTATGTACATTCTGTATATGACAGAAGTGTCAGGTTTCACTTTATTTTAAATGTCTTTTTATTAACAGAAATCCCTGCCACTGAACCTCCACAACTGCCTGGCAGATGCCCGGAGACAGACCACACAGCGTGGATTCCTTTCCATGGTCACTGCTACTATGTTGAGTCTTCATATACAAGGAACTGGGGCCAAGCAGCTCTGGAATGTCTTCGAATGGGTAAGTGCCATGTTTACTGTAGGAAAATCCCCCAAAGATCAATTCTGGATGACCACGATTCTAATAACCCTGTACGTTAAAACAAAAGGAACAGAAAGATACCTATTTATTTTTCTTAATAATTTGTATTGTAACATAATGGTCAACATTATCCACCCTACATGTAATTTCTAACATGGTAGCCTCAAAATCCTAAAGAATTTCGGTAGAAAATGATCATTTGCTGAACAAATATTTCTTACTTTCGGCCCTAATATTCTAAACTGTTAGGGTTCTCATTCTCAGTTATTCAGAGTATTGTGTTCACTTCTTATCACAGATAAGCTCAGGTTTCACAAGTGCCAGGAACCATTTTTCTTTATTAGTAATAAAAAAGCATTTATATCCGATTATCTCATTTGTGAAGAAGAAGAAAAGAAAACTCAAATAGACATGATATGGAGACATGATTTTCCCCCTGAAATAAAAATGTCAAATAAAGTTAATTTTTCAGGGTACATTTAAAAATTTGCCAAATTAAATCTCATCGAATATTTTACTGATTTTTTATTTTTTACTAAATTTTAATTATGCCCTAAATTAGGGTTCTTTATGCGATAGTGGTGTGCAAGAGCTGTATCTCCATTTCCTTCAGGTGCAAAACCTTGAGTTTTGACTTCTTCTTTTTATGTTTATTTTTTCAGCTTTATTGAAGTAAAATTGACAAAATTATAATACATTTAAAATGTATAGCATGATGATTTGTTATATGCATGAACTGTGAGAAGATTCCCCCCATCAAGTTAATTAACACATCCATCACCACACACATTTACCTTTTTTTCTTTTTTGGTGAGAACACTGAAGTTCTACTCTCTCAGAAAATCTCAATTATACAACATAGTGTTATCAACTATAGTCAACATATTGTACATTAGGTCCTCAGACCTTATTCACCTTGTAACTAAAATTTGTGCCCCTTTACTAGCCTCTCCCAATTTCCCCCACACTCCAGTCACAGGCAAATACCATTCTACTTTCTATTTCTGTGAATTTGAATATCTTTTTGATTCCAAATATCAGTGATACCATGCGGTATTTGTGTATCTCTGTTTGACTTATTTCACTTAGCATAATGCCTTTCAGGTTAATCATTGTTGTTGCAAATGGCAGGTTTCCCTCTGTTTAAAGGCTAAGTAATATTTCATTTTGTGTGTGTGTGTGTCCTCCACTGATTGTTCAGTACCATGTTTAATTTCTATACATTGTTTTCTTCTTGTAATTGATTTCATACCATTATGCTCAGAAAACATGCTTGATATGATCTCAATCTTAAATTTATCGAGACTTGTTTTGTGGCCTAACATATTATCTATCTTGGAGGCTGTTCCATGTGAGAATAATGTGTATTTGTCAGTTGTTGTATAGAATGTTTGGTATATATCTGTTAGGTCCATTTGGTCTAATGTGTATTTTAAGTCCATTGTTTCCTTATTGATTTTCTGTCTAAATGACCTACCCATTGTTGAAAGTGGTGTATGAAGTCTTCTACTATTATTGTATTGATGTCTCTTTATCCCTTCATATCTGTTAATATTTGCTTTACATATTATGGTGCTCTGATGTTGGGTAAATATATATTTACAATTGTTATATACTTTGATAAATTGACTCCTTTATCATTATATAATGACCTTCTTTGTCTCTAATTATAGTTTTTGGTAAAATCTATTTTGTCCGATATGAGAATCAAAACCCTGTTCTCTTTTGTTTTCTGTTTGCATAGAATAATTTTTTGCCATCCCTTCACTTTAAGTCTATGGGTATCCATAAAACTGAAATGAGTCTCTTGTAGACAGCATATAGTTAGATCTTGTTTCTTTGTAGTGATATGCTTAGTCTATGTCTTTTGATTGGAGAATTTAGTCCATTTTCATTTACAGCACTCATCGATACTATGGACTTATCATTGTCATTTTGTGAATTGTTTTCTGAATGTTTTGTAGTTCCTTTGTTCCTTTCTTCCTCCCTTATTCATTTCCTTTGCAATTTAATGATTTTTTGTAGTGATATGCTTAGATTCCTTCCTGTTTATCTTTTGTGTATTTACTCTAGGTTTTTGCTTTGTGGTTACCATAAGGCTTATATGAAATATCTTGTAGGTATAACAGTCTATTTAAAGCTGATAATAACTTAACTTTGAATACATACAAAAGCTTTACATTTTTACACTCCCCCCTACATTTTATGTTTTCGATTTTATAATTTACATATTTTATATTGTGTATTCATTAAAAAATTATTGTATTTATAGTTATTTATAGTTACTTTTGTCTTTTAACCTTTATACTAGAGTTATAAGTGATTTACCGACTAACATTTACCCACTACAATATCAAAGTATTCTGAATTTTATCATATATTTACCTTTACCAGTGAATTTTATACTTTCAAATATTTTCACATTTCTAATTAGTATCCTTTTGTTTTAGATTGATGAACTGCCTTTATCATTTCTTATAAGGCTAGTTTGTTGGTGATAAACTCTTTTAGCTTTTGTTTGGGAAATTATCTCTCATTTAATTTTGAGGGACAACTTTTCTAGGTAGAATATTTTTGGATGGCAGATTTTTCTTTAAGCATTTTGAATATAGCATCCCACTCCCTTCTAGCCTGCAAAGATTCTGCTAAAAAAAACTGTTTGCAGTCTTATAGGGATTTCCTTGCATGTAACAAGTAACTTTTCTCTTTCTGTTTTTGAAAATGTCTCTTTGTCTTTAACTTTTGACAATTTAATTATAATGATTCAACGTGGTCTCTTTAGATTCATTGTATTTGGTACTCTGTAGGGTTCCTGGATCTGGATATCTGTTTCTTTCTCCAGTTTAGAGAAGTTTTCAGCCATTATTAATTTGAATATGCTTTTTGCCCCATTCTCTTTCTCTTCTCCGTGGACATATATTGAATATCTTGATTGATATGTTGGTTCACTTGTTGTCTCACAAGTCCCTTAATCTAACTTCACTTTTTTTCAGTCTTTTTTTTTTTTTTTCTTTTTTCTTCCCTGGATGTATTTGACTGCCCTTTCTTTGAATTCACTCTTCTTTTCTTCCAATTGATCTAGTTAACTGTTGAACTCGTTCATTGAATTCTTTTTATTTTTATTTTTTGTATTTGTTGTATTCTTCAATTCTATGATTTTTATTTGGTATATTTTAATACCTCTTTGTTGAAATTCTTTGTTCCTGCATGATTTTCCTGACTAAAAACTGTTATTTTGAGCTCTTTATTGGAGAAATCACTTATCTCTGTTTTATTAACACCTGTTTGGAGATTATTTTGTTCTTTTGTTTGGAATATATTCTCATATTTTTTCATTTTCTTTGACTCTCTGCACTGGTTTCTGAACATTAGATAAAATAGACACCTCTCCTTTGATTGAAGTACTTAATCCATTTACATTTAATGTAACTACTGGTAAGGTAGGATTTATAGCTGCCATTTTGCCATTTGTTTTCTATACGTCTTACATCTTTTAGTTCCTCTATTATTCAATTTCTGGCTTCTTTTATGCTAAATGTATAATTTCTAGTGTATCATTTTAACATTCTTGCTCCTTTTTTTTTACTATGTATTATTTAGTTATTTTCCTAGTTGTTGCCTTGTGGATGAGTTAATATCTTATTATGCAATGGTCTAGTTCAGATTAATATCAACTTAATTTTAAGAGTATACAGAAATTTTCCTCTTACATAGCTCTATACCCTCTGCAATCCTTTGTGATATTGTCGTCATACAAATATATCTTTATATAGCGTATGTCCCTCAGCAAAGATTGTCTTTAGATTAGATAAGATTTTTAAAAATTACTAACAAAAAAAGATAGTTAAAAACTCTGCCTTAGCCTTTACTTCTTGCTTGTGCAGAGCCTCAAGGTCAGCCAGAAGTGAGGGCTTAAAACCTCAGATCTTTTATGGGAATGCACAGGGTCCTGGGCACGTGCACACCCCAGTGCATGTCTGTGCATGGCCTTCCAGATTCCCAGGAATAGATTAATGTTTTTGAAGCTCTCTACAGTCATCTCATTCCTCAGTTTTTCCTTTTAGGTTTCTTCTTTAGCTTGTTGTTTCCCTCCACTATTATCATTGCCACGGGCAGTCTTGATGTGACACAATTGCTGCTGATAGTTTTGACAAACTCTCCTAGGGAAAAGGCATTTACACTAGTCAAGCTGAGTGTCAGGTCAAATAAAGGCAAGTTTTGCAAGTGAGGTCTTCTAGGGAACTGTCAGGGAGATCAAACAATGGAAATTCTTTGGGAATGGGACTTTAGAAGAACTCCAACCTCATTTTGACTTTTCCACTGGCTTCTAAGCTCCTGGTTTTCACTATGATTTGGGGGCTGTTGGCTTTTAAGGCACCCATAGAGCTAGGATAAGGCAGTGGGATTAGGACAAGTTATAACACCATGAAGCTCACTGTTCTTACCAAGATTCAATCATTGTTTCTGAATAAATTCTTCTTTGTTGGTTATAGCCATCAGTTAATTTTCAGGGTTCTGAAAAAGTTGATTTGACATATTTGTCAGTGTTTTTATTGCTTTTGTAGAGGAGGATTTTCAGGGGTACTTACTCTGCCATTTCTTATGATGTTCCCTGAAGTCTGCTTTGGAATTTTTTAAATCAAAATATGTTTTTCCTTCCTGTTTCTAAGTATTTTTTTTTTTAAATTTTGCAATGAACATGTAGAAACTTTGTTTTAGGTTACTATATTTTCCTGTAAATAGTGCGAGTGATTCTCATTCATCAAAATATGCCAGGAATATTTTGAAGTGGTTATTGTCCATGAAATATATTGACTAATGGAATATGTAATTGTGCAATGAAAACAATACTTGAAGGGATAATCCAGGGATGAAGGCATACAGTTAAGGGTAGGCCCTCAAGATTCAGATTGCCTGGATTATGCCATGATTCTACCCTCTACTACCATTAAAATCTTGGCAAATTACTTACCTTTTATATAAAGACATATTTGATATTTCACTTAACTATAAAATGGGGTAACTTTAGTAACCAATGAATAATGTAGTTGTAAAATTTTAGTGAGATTATGCTTGTAAAGCCCAAAGTAAAATGTCTGACATGAGGTGCTTAAAATATACTAGTTGTTATTATTAAAAAGCTGTAGGTTTTTGCTATAAATATAATGCTGACATTGAACGAAACTTAATCTAATGTGGGTTATCAATGCCATAGTCTCTTTACTAGTCTTTCAAATTCTCTCTTTTTTTTACTTTGTACAGTCCTATACACTACAGCTTGATTTACACTCCTGCAGCCTGAAAAAACTAAGTATTTCTTATCACTACATTGCCCTAAATACCAGTCTCCTGCTATCTGCAATGAGTTCAAACTCAAGACTTTGTTTTTACCCATTGACCATGTTAGTCTGGCAAAACTGTATACTATCTCTTAACACTATTAATTCTTCCCAGTAGATCTATCATCTAGCTATCTATCATCTAGCTATCAATCATCTATCTATCATCTATCTATCAATCATCTACCATTTATCTGTATCGTATCACCATAAAGCAACATGGAGGATTCCATGTATCTGTGAGCCATCTCTGTTCCTGAAGAAGCTCTATGCTTCCCCCTCTCTTTCACTTTGTCTTTTCTCTTATTCTTCTTCTCCCTGGAATTATTTTCTATGCTTTCTACTTGAAATCCTATGCTTCTTAATATCTTAAATTCTGTTTCCTCCATGTTCCCTTTTAGTTGCTTTGCTTAAAAAAATTTCTCTGTTTGACATGTCAATAGCATATTGTACTCATTTTCTCTTCTAATACATTCCTTTATATTCTCAACACATTATTATCTGCATTATTATAAGTTTCTTAAGACATCCTATGCCCTTTTTATCTTTGCATATCCTGCAGCAACTGATTCAGCGCTTGAACACAAATGATGCTTAAAAAATCAGATTTTCAGAGTGGCAACTAAAATTCTAAAAAGACAAATGTCTGTAGTGTCTTTATAAAAATGTTTTCAGCTACTTAAATGTACTCCCATTATATTTGTTCTTTTACATTTTGCAGATTCCACTTTGGTTTCCATCGAAAGTGCTGCAGAATCGAGTTTTCTGTCATATCGAGTTGAGCCACTTCAAGGCAAAACTAATTTTTGGATAGGATTGTACAGAAATGTTGAAGGTGATTTTTGCAAGATGATTATTTCCTCACAGATATTTCAAAATGTTTTATTTAGAACAAAGTTCACGTTTCAAAAAGTCTTGCCTTAAATAATGGTAACTTTGTAAATTTGTGAAAAGTCAAACTTACATTTTCATTTGAGGTAAGAACTGAAATTTTAAATGACCCCACATACCATACTATCCTGGAAGTTGCTAATTAAAAGAATATCTTCTGTAGCTAAGTTAGTTTAAGAAGCTTTAAAAAATGTTTTCTATCTTTTTCCAGAAAAAAATAATTAGAAAAGGATAAGTATACATATTTGTCTTAATTAGGAATGAGTTTTCAACTAAAGCTATATAAGAAACACATTCTTCTCAGTTTCCTTCCTTGCAACAATTAGTCATTATAATCTTGCCTATTAAAAGTCTTATTATAAATTATTGATTGTAGTATAAAATAATATGCTTAGAAGTGAATAAGTTGAACTTATTTTAAGATGGGTTATTTTTAACTTCTATTTTTACTGACTTTATTTATTAATCAGGAAAGTGGCTGTGGATAAACAACAATCCAATCTCCTTTGTCAACTGGAACACAGGAGACCCCTCTGGTGAACGAAATGATTGTGTAACTTTGATTGCATCTTCTGGATTTTGGAGTAATATTCACTGTTCTTCCTACAAAGGCTATATTTGTAAAAGATCAAAAAGTAAGTAAGAATTTGTCCTATGGTATATATGCTCACAGGCCACAATTGCTTTCAAATATTAAGATGTCAGGTATGGGATTATAATGTGATAACAGGTTCCTTGCAAACTACTCCTGCACAAGTGAGCAGTTCAGTCTGCCATGGTGATTAATTGCTGTCTGCAGCTCTGAGTGAGCACGATACAGTCTCTGTCTGCTTAAATGACATAATGGTTTTGACTTACCAATCCATTTATAATGGGATATCTGCGCATATGGATTTACAAAGTTACAAGCAGTTTGGAGAGCCCGCCTACGAAGCCTTATGGCATAAGAGGAAAAGGGATAAAGCAGTCACCTGACCAAATCAGAAGGTGTCAGTGTTCCAGAGAGGAACCAGAATTAATTGAGGAATGAATTACATGAGACCAATGAAGTCTTCTTCTGAGACTGAGTGGCAGACTATGGAAGGATAGGGAGAATTAATAGTGTTATATGCCCATGATGTGATATTGTCTGGACTTAAATATTTTTATGTCATTCCACTTTACATAATCTCCTTCTCAATAGATAAAAATTATTCATTAAATAATACATCTAGATAAATGAATTAGATAAATTAACACTCTATCCCTAGTAGAATTTATTATTTTAGAATCGCATAGTTCTTCAGTCTTTTAAAACTCTGTTATAATATATCACACCCTTTGGTGCAATGTTGGGATCCTATTTCGCTTTTCGTTCAAATGCCTTGTAATATCTTAGGCTTCAATGGACCAGTTTCAAAACTGCTAGCCTAGAATTCATTATTTATGAGTAAATTGGGTAGATTTTAAGGGTGGGTATCAGTGGCCCAAATGCAAATAGGAAGGCTGTATTTTCAGATCTTCAAATATATTCAAACTCACCATACAGCTGCAGGATGCTGGAATAGAATAGAATAGAATAGAATAGAATAGAATAGAATAGAATAGAATAGAATAGAATAGAATAGAATAGAATACAATACAATACAATACAATACAATACAATACAATACAATACAATACAATACAATACAATACAATACAATGATAGGTTTGTATATCTGTATATCAGATTTATCTATCATCTATCATCTCTATATATCATATCACTATAATTTAAACATGGAGGATTCGATGTATCTGTGAACCAAATAACACTATGGATATGAAATTATTATAGGTTTTTACAAGTATTTAATTAATTTTTATTTTACAGTTGTTGATGCTGAACCTACTCATACAGTAATGACAACAAAAGGTAAGACCATTATGAAATTTCAAGTTCCATATTAGTAATGCATCAGCATAGTTTGTTTTAAAAATCATAATGATCCCTTCCTACATCCCCTGAACTCCTGGTAGAATTGCTTGAGCTCCACTAGCCTTTGTCATTATGCCATCAGCCTCCCTTGAATGATGCTCTAGAAAAGCCGGCTTGGAGCCAGGTTGGTGTTTTTACCATCGATTTTTTTGAAGACATCAATTGCTCTGTTCCAGAGAGTTGCCTTATGAGAACCCACGGAAGAATTTTCCCTGAGGAATCCCCGTGGTATTTTTCTTTTCTTAAGTAATATTTCTAATTTTAATTTTATACATAACTTGAATTAGGTAGCTGATCCTGTTTCGCTCATTTGTTTGGCTGCTATAAGAACTCGAAGTGAGATTTATGGTTTGCCTGCAACCCCCTATTAATCTCATGGGTGCTATTTGTTTGCTAATTACACTCATGAGCCGAAATTTCCATTACTTTTATTTTTTTTCCCGAATTTTTTTTCACTTGCTTTTTATTATCATCATCACATTATTACTATTCTATTTATCTTCCTATAATGTGTTGGTTAGCAGCCTTATATTATTTTGAAACAGGTATAAATATTATAAAACACTGATTAACTAACTCCATGCTATATAGATAAATGAAATGTTCTTGCAGCTGAATAATAATCTTAACATCTAAAATAATCCTCTATCCTATTTTCATGTCTTGCATTTCTCTTTGACAAATGCCACTGGAAGGAATTTACATTTTAGTTTTTCGAAAAAGAAAGTTATAATGTTCTCCATAGCATTTTACCCTCTGCCTCCCTCTACCTTTTTGCTAATGATTTTATTTATTTATAGCTGACTCAAGGAAGATGGAACCTACTAAACAGTCTTCCAGTGTGGCAGGTGTAGTAATCATTGTGATTCTCCTGATTGTAATGGGTGCTGGCCTCGCCGCGTATTTGTTTTATAAGAAGAGACGTGGGCACGTACCTCAAGAGAACGCTTTTGAAAATACCCTCTATTTCAACAGTAGAGCAAGTCCGGGAACTGGCGATACAAAAGATCTCATGGGCAACATTGAACAGAATGAACACGCAGTCATTTAGTATCATAATGTGATTTAGGTATATTGACATTTCATAAGATTATAACTAAAATGTTAAGGTTTTTATTTCAATCTGATTATTTCCTTTAAGGTTAGTACTGTGTTGCACTGGTCTGTCCTTTTTCTTTGCCTAATTGAAAAAAAAAATAATTGCTCATTTTCTAGTCTGGCAAGATATTTTCACAAAAGAGAGAGAACAATATTGGCTACCATGTTAAAAACATATCTTAGGTGAATACACAGCACAATATTAGCATCATTGGTGTGTAGCTATTGTCGACTGCATGAAGATTATAAGAACCCCAGAAACAACCAACTAAGCTTTCTGAAATAGTTTAAGGAGCTACCCCCTGCCCAATTTTAACTATTGAATTGTAATTCAGTAATTAAAGGACCATTTTAAAACTCAAGTACAAATAACTTCAGGTGGCATAAAAATTTAGTAACTTTTTTTCACAAACCTTGATATTCACTCCAATTATTTACAACTGTATTTGTACATGTGCAGAAAGAATAAGGCAGCTGAGAATCTTCTTTTCCCCAAGCAGGGTTTTTGAGGCTGAATATTGCAAACAAGTTCTGTGTCCTGTTATATGTATATCAGGAATGCAAAGATGTGAAATAAAAAATGTAAATTTGCGTAACTGGATGTACTTAGATAATGTGAAATAATCATCAAAGGCAAGGTCTATTTTTAATAGATTTGTATTTTGGTGATTTTGATAAGTGTAAATTTTATTTTAAATGAGATTTATTTATCCATTTACTTTACATTTAGCTTTACTCTCAAAATAAACAATTTTATTAGTAGAGGAATTCTTAAACTCTTCATCTCTTTGGAACAGATAGGTTGCTAAAAAGTATGCATAAAATGAATTTTGTTGTAATGGCTTGCACTCTTCTCCCAGATCTTCTATTGTAACACTGACGCAGCTCAGAATTCAACAGTCAAAGGCACTGTCATTGGGAATTAGAGCTCTAAATGTCTTATCCTCACTTTAACAATTTTTTTTTTTTAAGAATTTTGCCTTAAAGTGTCATGTACATTGCAAAATATGCTGGCGGTTTCACAATCACACATGTTCCACACTGCCAGCTCATCCTTGCCATTCTCATGGAGTTGTTCTAACTATTAACTATCACCAATCTGTCTGTCTGTCTTTCTGTCTGTCACCTATTATCTACCTACCTATCAATTTATTTTAAGGAATTGGCTCATGCAATGCTGGAGGCATGGTAAGTCCAAATGTATAAGGTAGGCAGCAGGCTGCAGACTCAGGGAAGAGCTGCTGTTTGAGTCCAAAGGCAATAAGTCTGCTGGCAGAATTCTTCTGGCTTTGCTGTTCTAGTAAGGCCTTCAACTGATTAGATGAGTCTCACCCACATCATGGAGGGTAATCTGCTTTATTCAAAGTCCATTTATGTAAATGTGACTCTTCCAAAAAGAAAAAAAAAAACCCTTCACAGAAACACAGAATAATGCTTGACCAAGTTTCTGGGCACTGTGGTTCAGCCAAGTTGACACATATAATTAATGATCATACCCCTTTATATGGCAGTGGTTTTATAATTATTTTTTATAGAGCAAATAGAAAGATAATGCAGTCTTTAGCATGACCAATAAGATTTTTAAAAAATCTTTGATAGTTTAGAAAAGGCCCTTCAACTATACAACTTGTTATTGATAATATGATATAAACTTTTAGGATTTCTCTTGAAATATCAGAAAACCTCTCTTGCATATCGTTCATATACAGGTACTAATATTTCAAGGTACTTATTTAGAGTTTTTTCTTTTTCATACGCAATAAGTAATTTTAAATATCTTTGAATTTGATGATACTCATTAATCAGTTTGTTCACATTGTTTTAATAATAGCATATGATTTTTTTTTTTGGTGAGGCTGGTATTTTGTATCAAATTAGCTAAAAATCTAAGTCTTTTTCCAGTATGATCACTTTTCTTCATTCTCTTTATTAGCTAAATTACCATATAACCTAAGAGTCTCTTTACTACTTCAATTGATAATGACATTGAAAAAGCTCCCTGAATTGGCTGGAGATCCTGGTTGTACTATGGGTCCTTATCATATCAAAGTTATTCATGGTAGCTCTGTATGATTAAGTTTAGGGGAAGATTATTAATCTTATTCAATTAGCTCTGTGGGTTGAGTGAAAACCTTTTCTATCACAGCTTTCTCCTTATGGGTCTGATTACAGCTTGTGTACATAGAATTCTCTAGGAGATTTAAAAATACCCTACAAAGTTACCATGTTCTCGTTTCTGTTGATTTAATTTTTTTTTCTTTGAGGGCGAGAAAGTTCAACACTCTGGGCTTGCTCCTGATTCAGGGTTTTGGAAGGGATTCTCAAACTTTGATGAGGGTAAGCACCACACGGAGCCCTTATTCAAAATACAGAATCCTTTGGGCCCATGCTTATGATTCTGATTCAGTAGAGCTGGGTCAGAATCCTGGACCCTGCATTTCAACAGGGAGCCCAGGGGAGTCGGAATGCCGTCAGGCCGTGATGGTGATGCGAACTCTATTTTGGAATCATTTTGCATTGAGGTAGCGTTTCTCCAAAGCTGTTAGAAATCTCACATTGTCCATGAAGTGAAAGCAGGATAGCCAAATAGCATGAGAGTTGACGAAAGCTGCAGTTTTCCCGTTTTCTCTGGCAATTAACCAGAAACTACAGATGCTAAAATCTACTTCTGCACTTCTTTTACTGAATGCCCTTATATTACTGCTATGGAATGAATGTCTGTGTTCCCCTCAAAATTTATATGTTGAGACCTACCCCCCAATGTGATGGTGTTAGAAGGTGGGGCCTTTGGAAGGTGCTTAGGTCATGATAATAGAGCCCAGACACATGGGATTAGGGTCCCCAGAGAGCTCCTTTGTCCATTCCATCATGTGAAGACGCAGTGAGAAAATGGTCATCTATAAAGCACGAAGCAGGTCCTCTCCAGACGCTGAATCTGCTGGTTCATTGGTCTTGGACTTGCCAGCCTCCAGAACTGAGACAAATAAAGTTCTGTTGTTGATAAGATCTATGGTATTTTGTTATAGCAGCTTGAATCGACTAAGACATTGTCCCAATGCTGTGCCATTCCTACATTCCCTTCGCAATCACTATTAATGAGTATGTGTGAGTTGAGGATTTGTCTTATGCAATCTTAGAATATAAATTTACCCCAGGAGGGGAAAGGTCAGAAATTGTGTGGTCCTGGGCAGGATTGTAGATCTTTGTGAAAAGAGCCATTTCTTCACGCTATGGGTGATAACACGAAATCGTTCATCCCCATAGAGACTCCCACGTCATAAAAATGTCATTGTCTTTGGGTCAGAGTTGACTCATTTTATGAAGAGGAGAAAGTGGAAACCTGCTAACGCTCACAGCCATCATAACTCTACCATTCAGTTTTATTCTCTTGAGAAGCGAAAGGGCAGAAGAACCCTCATCAACTTCTTTGAGAAAAAAAAATGGAATAAATATTTCGAAGAAAATTCCATCTCTTATTTTCCCTCAATTTTCTGGAAATCAGAGTCAATCTTGGCTATCACAGCAATAGGGAAACTAATTAAGTGCCGATCATATGCCAGGCACAGTGGCGCATACTCAGATGAATTCCAGATGGTCCTGAAGTGTGTTCTGCTGACTGACTTGTGCCACTCTGATTTAATTCCAAAACTCAGAGGTCCTTGCTCTGGAGCTGGTTGGGACAAAGGAAGGGGACTTGAGGTCTCCAATGAAGAGGTAAAGGATTGGTCATCTCTACGAACCTACTTCTCTGAATATGACAGTTTATCTGGCAAGGTTTGACTCCGTTGAGGAGGTCCTGGGCTAAGAGATGGGTGAAACCTCACAGCCTCTAGATGTTTGGTGTGATGGATTTGGGTTTCATAATAAAAAGTCCTGATTTCCTCTGGATGTATCGAGGCTTCTCTCGGGGCCATGGATTGAGTATGAATTGCTTTTGTCAGAAGAGTGTCTTCCCATATCCTGTGTACCCTGCCAGCCCCCAAACTGTGGTGAGCCTCCTCCCCAAAATGACTGCAGCCCAGCCGATACACCTGTGCTGGTCTCAAGCACCTGTGATGTGTGTGTCACGAAGCAGGTCCTGGGGCTTCTGCTTTTACTATCCACAGGGCCACTTCTGACCCAGGGTGGACCCCCAAGCCAAACCTGCAGAGCATGAAGACAGAAACAGACGCAGTTTGGGACCTTTGCCTGAGCAGCTGCCACAGACTCCATTGCCAACCAACAGAGAGTCTGGCATAGTCTCCAAGGGGTGTCAGCCAGCTGGGACTTCTGAAGCCTCAACTCTCCTTGGAGCCCCCCTCTCGCCCCCGCAAGATGTGTCTGGTCACTGTGCTTGTTTTACTTCCTCCTCGTTCTTGCTTAAAAGCTGGATTCCTTCCTTAAAAGTCAGCAAAATCTTGATATTCTGAACTTTCCACGCAGGCAAACAAGTTTGGGGAAGCCAGGCAGTATCAGGTAGCCTTTCCTGTAGCTGATCTTCAGAGAATCCAAGCCACTGTGTTCTTTTGGACCGCCTTCAACCAAGTGTATTCCCCAGGGCCAAGCCTCAGGGTATCAAAGAACCACTTAGAAAGTATTCCCTCCCTCATGAGAAACAGAATGATTTAGCTGAGAGGGCATCTCTGCCAAAACATATCACACAGGCTGAGACAAAAAAAAAAAAAAAAGCCTAAAGACAATGAGAGGGTTCTTGGTGGAGGAGGCCACTGTCACCCTCTTTGAACAATTCCTGTTACCAGCCAACCAAAGGAAATTTGGTAGCTGCCATCCACCCTGAGGAGCTCACAACAATACTAACAAAGTGGAAAATGTGGTGTTTCAATGACTATACAAGATACAACGTTCGGGTAGCCATCAACATCTATAATTCATGCATTTTTCAGTTCTGACCCTGTTTGCTTCACCACTGTCACCCTCTTTGAACAATTCCTGTTACCAGCCAACCAAAGGAAATTTGGTAGCTGCCATCCACCCTGAGGAGCTCACAACAATACTAACAAAGTGGAAAATGTGGTGTTTCAATGACTATACAAGATACAACGTTCGGGTAGCCATCAACATCTATAATTCATGCATTTTTCAGTTCTGACCCTGTTTGCTTCAAATGATGGGATTCTCGTTTCTGCTGCATCTGATACTGAAGGGTCAGCAGTGACAACAATGTAGGCTACGAGCTCCAAAGCTGTTGCTGGGACCCAGCCAGGAGCAAGTGGTTACATACACACCCTCTGTCCTGAATGTACCAATTGTAACATCACAACTTCCCAAATATTTGACACATCTGCAAAAGGTGTCACCCTGGAAATACCAGCAGGCTATTTCGGAGTTAGCACAGAGAATAGAAAGAAGTGCATTCATTTGGTTGAGCTTAGAGGCCAAAGCTCCTATCATAGGGACGATTGACAGCATCACTCCTAGAGATTCATGTCTGAGATATCAGTGGTCACCACGAGGCGTGAAGAGTTGAGTCAACAGCAAATGTACCACCTGTACTGACCATGGGGCTGACGGCCACACCCAATATTACGTGGATTCCACCCAACCTTACAACTTTCAACAAGGAGGTTGAGCTATTATGCAGATTATC